AGCCCACCACAGTGCCCAGCCCTGACCCACCCAGCAGCACCGGGTGTCCCTCAGGGCTTTCCCCCCACCCCTGGAGCTCCCATGTGGGTTCGGCCATGTTCTCCCACAAAGGGCCTGTGACTATCCCTTCCCAGCTCCCCCATCCTGGGGAGGAACTGCTTCCCTGCTCATGTCCCACCTGTGGGCAGGTGGGTGCAGCCCCCTGTGCCTGTCTCACGGGGGTGAGGACCCCTTGTTCCCATCCCTCTGCCCCATTTGCTTCCCACTGCTCCCACTCTGGGGGGCTGGGAGTGTCTCCTCCCCCCTGAGGAAGGTGGTGTCACCTCCTGGCCCAGAGCACACACGGCCTCGTTCCCTCTGCCGGGGGGGTTGTGCTGCTGGTCCAGCTGCTCCCACCCAGCCCTGGCCCAGCTCATCCTGTCCTGAGCCCTCAGTCCCTCCCCAGCGAGCCCTTTCCCTACTCCCAGTGAGTCTGTTTGTCCCTTCCTGGTAAACCCATTCCACCACTCCCAGTCAGTTGTTTCCCCATCCCTGGTGAGCCCTTCTTCACTCCCGATTAGCCCATTCCCAGTTCCTGGTGACCCCACTCCCTCTGTCCCACTGAGCCTCTTTCCCCATTCCCATTGAGCCTGTTCCCTCATTCCCCATTCCCGGTGAGCCCCTTCCCAGTTTGCCCAGTCCCTGGCCCTGCACAGCCCCAGCTGCCCGCACCCCACACTCGCTCACGCCTCGGTTTCCACCACGTTTTATTACAAAACCGGTGCGGGCCGGTCCCGGGGCCGGTCCCGCTCCCGCTGGCCCCGGCGCGGGGGCCGAGGCGGGTCCAGCCCGTGCCGGTGTCGGTGCCGAGCGCTCGCAGCGCGGAGGCCGAGGCGGGGGCTGGAGGCCGGTGCAGCCCCGGGGTCCGGGGGGTTCGGGGTGTCCGGGGGGGCTCAGCGCCCCACGGCGTCGAGGATGCGGCGGTTGGAGTCGGCGCGGGCGCGCTGGCTCTGGGCGCGGGCGAGCAGCAGGAGGTGCCGCAGGAGGTGGAACGTGAGGTCGATGGAGAGCGGCGGCTCGTCCCGCCGCCCTCGCCACTGCCCCGGGGGCGGAGGCGCCAGCGGCGGCCACAGCGGCGGGTCCTGATCGCCGGTCCCGGCCGCCGGGATGGAGCCGTCGGTGGTGGCGGGGCGGGCGGCGGCGGGCGGCGGGCGGGCGAGCAGCAGCAGGAGGGTGAGCAGTGCCCGCCGCATCCTCGGTCCCTCTGCACCTGCGGGGCAGGGGCTCAGCGCCACGGCAGAGACCGGGGCGGCGGCGGAGGCCCGACGGGAACCGCGGCCCCTCCGCTCCCGGCCGCCCCGTTCCGTCCCCTCCGCGCGCCCCGGCCCCGGTGCCGCCCTGCCCGGTTCCCCAGCCCCGTCCCGTACCCGGTGCGCTGTGCCCGTGCCCTGTTCCTGCCGGTGCCGGCGGCGCAGCGAGCGCGATCGGTCCCGCGGGAGCTGAGCCGGCGGCGCGGCCGGGGGTTATATCGGCCCGGGAGCCCGGGCTGACGTCAGCGCCGGGCACGCACCGGGCGGCGGGGGCGGGGGACACGGGGGCACCGGAGCGGCGGTGAGCGGCCCCCCGGCGGCGGGACGGGGGTGGGGGACGGGGGGGAGCGGCAGAGCCCGCTCTCGCCGGTTTCGGGAGCCGCTGCTCCGGCTCTGTTCTGATGCCCACCAAAGAGGCACGGCGGGGCCGGTGAGAGCAGGTGCCTTGGGCCGTGCTAACCCTCGCTTCCCCGGTTTCCCCGGTCCCCCGGTCCCCCCGAACCCTCTCGCGGCGCTGCCGCATCTCCAGCCTCATTCTCCGCCGCTGTCCGCGGTGCTGAACGGCCGGGACGCGCTGGGACACCGGGGCCGGTGAGCTCCCGGTGAGCTCCCGGTGAGCTCCCGGTGAGCCCGCAGTGAGCTGTACCGGGCTGAGCCGCGGCTTCTCGGCGTGGAACCCTCGCGTTCCCGGGCGGAACGGCCGCGCCGAGCAGCGGCGTCCAAAGCAGGGCTCGGGACGGCGGGGGGGATCCCTGGGCGGAGGCGGGGACACCCCGAGCACCGGCAGCTCCGGGACAGGACGGTCACGGGTGGGACCCCCAGCCCGGCCGTGGCTCGGTGTCCGGGCAGAGCGGGCGGTGCCGAGGTCAAACCGCGGGGCCGAGGCCGCAGACGCCCCGAGCGCAGCGGCAGCACCGGCCAAGTCCTGTGAGTCATAGAACGAAGGCACCGGAGCTGGCAGCGCCGTGCTGGATGCAGGGTGTTCCGTCGGGGCACCGGCACCGCTGCCAAATGGTGAGGTGGCTGCTGGGGCTCCACGCTCTTGTTGGCAGCCCCCCTGAGTGCACCACACTGCTGGCATTCTCCCCGAGCGCCCCGCGTGGTGTCCCCAGCCCCCGAGTGCCCCGCATGGTGCCCGCAGCCCCCGACTGCCCTGAACGCTGCCCGGAGCCCCCCGAGTGCCCTGTATGCTGCTGGCAGCCCCCCGAGTGATCCACACCCCTGCCCGCAGCCCCCCGAGTGCCCCGCATGGTGTCCCCAGCCCCCGAGTGCCCCGCATGGTGTCCCCAGCCCCCCGAGGGCACCACACTCCTGGCATTCCCCCCGAGCGCCCCGCACGCTGCCAGCCGAGCGCAGCCGAGCTGACTCCCCCAGCTCCGGTGCTGCAGGGGCCGGAGCAGCGGGGCCGAGCCGGGCACAGGGGCTCGCCCGGCCCTCGCACGGTGTGTCCCAGCCCGGGGGCACGGCGGTGGCGGGGCACGGCCCTGCCCGCAGCGAGCAGCACACGGTGTCGTGCCCCGTGACGTGATCCGGCACGAAGGCTGGCACCGAAGGCTGGCACCGGCACCGCTCCCCGCAGCGGCGGGGCAGAGCCCTCGGCAGGGGCCGCGCTCGCCCCCGAGCCCCGGCAGCCCCGTGCTGCGCCGGCTGCTCCTGGGGACAAGCGGCTCGTTCCACGTGGCTCCTGCCGGGCGCGCCGCTCTCTCTGCTGACAGAGCCTCCTGCACGCCCAGGGGAGCTGCAAGAGGCTCAGCACCTCAGAGCTGAAATCCCTGCCACCCACAGCACCCACCCCGCTGGCTGCAGGGAGCCTGAGCCCCACACGGAACCGAGACCCCCAGGCACCGCTGCCATCCGTGCACGGTCCCATCACGGTGTGACACAGCCCCACACAGAGCCTGAGCCCCACACGGAACCGAGACCCCCAGGCACCGCTGCCATCCGTGCACGGTCCCATCACGGTGTGACACAGCCTCAGTCCTGTGCTGCTGGGGGGCAAAGGGCTGCAGCTGCAGCCCCTCCTGACCCTGCCTCACCCCCCAGGCCTGTGCAGGGTTTGCCCCCTCTGCTTTCCAGGCTGTATCCACCCGGCTGGAGCAGCCCCAAAGCTGGCTCAGCACAGAACCAGACTGTGGAGAGGATGAGGAGGGAGGAGAGATGGTGAATACTCTCCTGAAGGCCATGCTGGCAGAGCCCAGGGGGTGCTGCAGCATGGGGATGGCTCTGTCCAGCTGTGTGAGGCTGCAGCAGTGCAGCTGAGGGGCCAGGGCTCCACGGAGCTGAGAGGAACCAGCGTGGTGCCACCAGATCCAGATCCACCGTGGTGCCACCAGATCCACTTGGAGGCCCTGGATGTGCTGGGCAGGGACACTGTGGGACCTGGACACTTTGTGTGGGACACTGTGTGTGCTCACTGCCACTGTAGGGTGAGCATGGACACACATCCCTGGGCATGGACACACAGCCCTGGGCATGGACACACATCCCCACAGCATGGACACACAGCCCCAGGGCATGGACACACAGCCCCAGGGCATGGACACACATCCCTGGGCATGGACACACAGCCCCAGGGCATGGACACACAGCCCCACAGCATGGACACACATCCCCACGGCATGGACACACAGCCCAGGGCATGGACACACATCCCCACAGCATGGACACACATCCCCACAGCATGGACACACAGCCTCAGGGCATGGACACACAGCCCCAGGGCATGGACACACATCTCCAAACATGGACACACATCCCCAGGGCATGGACACACAGCCCAGGGCATGGACACACATCCCCACAGCATGGACACACATCCCTGGGCATGGACACACATCCCTGAGCATGGACACATATCCCCAGGGCATGGACACACATCCCCAAACATGGACACACATCCCCAAACATGGACACACATCCCTGGGCATGGACACACATCCCTGGGCATGGACACACATCCCCAGGGCATGGACACAAATCCCCACAGCATGGACACACATCCCTGGGCATGGACACACATCCCCAGGGCATGGACACACATCCCTGGGCATGGACACACATCCTCACAGCATGGACACACATCCCCAGGGCATGGACACACATCCCTGGGCATGGACACACAGCCCCAGGGCATGGACACACATCCCAGGGCATGGACACACATCCCAGGGCATGGACACACATCCCCAAACATGGACACACATCCCTGGGCATGGACATACAGCCCCAGGGGCAGCAGGCCGTGGCAGCTCTGTGAGGCTTCTCTCTGGCATGACAGGCAGGGTATCTCAGACGTGGCACAGGTGGATTGTCTCCCTGGCCCAGACCCAGCTCCAGCCCTATCCCCAACCCTTCCTGAACCCTCCCTGGATGCACAGCCCTGCATCAAGCAAGCTCTGACCCCGGCTCCATCATTTGGCTCCATCGGCCTCATTTCACTGCTCTGCAGCTGTGGAGGCACCATCACAGCCCATGGAACAGCTCCAGTAGGACCTGATGACCCCTAAAGCCCCATCCACCCTCTGCCAGAGTCCCCTGCCCTCTCCAGCCCCTGGGGCAGCCCACCCCAGCAGCTGCAGTCCCGAGCCCATGCTCGGTACCCTGAGGTGAGGCAGAGTGGAGCTGTTGATCCAGAACAGAACAGCTGCTCTGGGACAGCATCTGCAGGGCCTGTGGGACATGCTGGGCCACAAGGGCCATGGGAGTCACAAGTGAGGACATCTGTTTATTGATGCTTTGACTGCCCACAGCAGAGCCACAGCAAACCCTGCTGCTTAGGGGGAGCATGCCCAGCCTGCGGTGAGCCCAGCTCTGTGCCCGTGGCACGGCCAGCCCTGCTCCACTTCCACTCCTCTTCTCCCTCGGGATGAGCCCTGGGGAAGGTCAGAGCGACACTCGGGGCAGGAGCACCCTGTGTGCAGGGAAGTGGCTGAGCACAGATGGAGAAGAGCATCGTGGGCAGAGCTGCTGCACAGCACGGTGAGAGCAGAGCCAGGCCTGTCCTGGCACCATCCTCTCCCTGGGGCAGCTGTGGCCACAGGGGATGGTGCTCCCCTGAGAGAGGAGCGGGGTGGCTGCTGCAGGACCCTGCGTGTCCCGCCTGCCCACGCCATGCTGCCCACTGCCAGGAATCAGGGCTCCAGTGGCATCAGGCAGGGCACAGGGTGGGCACTGCCAGGGCTCAGGGCTCCTGTGGCATCAGGCAGGGCACAGGGTGGGCACTGCCAGGGCTCAGGGCTCCTGCCTCACATCCGATTCGCCTTCCAGGACAGGTAGCAGTTCCAGACGATGGCAACACACTGGACAACAGCCAGCCTGGGGACAGAGGGGACAGAGGGGACAGGGCCTGCAGCTGCCAGCTCAGGGGCAGGGACTGGGTGCCAGGGCCTCAGCCCTACCTGTGCTGCAGAGGCACAAAGTAGAAGTTGGCAATTTGCACGGGTGGCCAGATCTGGGCAGAGAAGGGGAGGAGAGGTGAGGAGCCCTGCCAGGGTCCCCTCCCCACACCCACCCCTGCCTGGCACTCAGGGCATCCCACAGAGCCCACGGCAGCCCCATGGAGACAGGACAGGGACAGGGACAGGGATGTGCCAGCACTCACACAGTAATTGGTCACCAGGGCATCCAGGTAGTCCTGGAAGAAAAAGGAGGTGTGAGCACTCAGAGGGCCCCCATCCTTGCCACTGTCCCCAGCTCCAGTGCTGGGCACGGAGCCCCTGCAGCCCTGGCCATGCCTTCCCACAGCCATGAGGGTGACCAGAACCATCCCCACTGAGAGCCCTTTGTGCCACAGCCAGGGCACAAAGCCAGGGCTTGGCCCCCAGGGTGGGCTGTGAGCCCCCTCCCGGCTCAGTGCTCCCCAGGCCCCTCCTGGGCAGCAGAGATGGAGAAGGGCTCTGGGCTGGGCTGGGAGCCCCAGGTGCTGCGGTGTCCTGGTGCCAGAGCCGTGTCCCAGCCCTGTCCCGTGGCAGCAGGACGAGTCCCTCAGCAGCCTGGCTGTGACTCAGCCGGGAGGGCAGGCTCCTGGTGGCACTGGCCAGCAGCCAGCACGGGGTGATGGATGCTCTGCTGACGCTTCCTCTGCGTGGCGAGAGGCGGATGCGCCCCCAGCCAGGGGTGAGGCTGCTGCCAGCGCTGCTCCAGCCCAGCCCAGCACCCCCTTCCAGGCCAGGGATCCCCGGGCCACAGCCTGCACCAATCACCGGCCACAGCAGGATGCCCCGAGGAAGGCAAGGCAAGATCCATGGCATGAGCTGGTCAGGATGAGCAGGGGAAGATGGATGGAGTGCTCAGAGTGCTGCCCATGCCCACGATCTGTTCACGTGTGCCCTCAGGGTGCTCAGAGCACCCCATGTGCTGGCTGTGGCTTGCACAGAGCCTGAGGAAAGCAGAGGTGATGTGATCCTGCCCCAGTCAGGGTGCTCAGAGCCTGAGGAAAGCAGAGGTGATGTGATCCTGCCCAAGTCAGGGTGCTCAGAGCCTGAGGAAAGCAGAGGTGATGTGATCCTGCCCCGGGATCTCCTCCCTGCACTCGGGGCAGGATGAGGGGCACGTGCTGACAGTCCAGGTGTAGCAGGCTGGTGACTGGGTGTCCCCATGCAGAGGAATGAACCCCGGGTGGTGGCACTCGGGCAGGGCTCCAGCCAGGCAGCACCAGAGAGAGAGGCTGGTGCTGCCGCTCCTGGCAGCCACACGACCACCCCAGCGTGCCTCATCCTGTGGCAGGTGGGCATCCACTCCCCAGTGACTCACCCTGGACACGCTGACTCAGTGTTCACACTGGTTTCCAGCAATTACTGTTAATGGGAGTCATCTCGGTAATTGCTCTGGAGCCCCAGCCAGGAGCAGGGCTGGACAGCACACCCATGGCACCCGTGTCTGGCCCAGGTGGGACCCAGCACTCGCCCACAGGACACCCGTTCCAGAGGAACCGGCCCTGGCACCAGCACTTGGACTGGCAGCACTGGGCACCCAGCACTGGGCCATGGACACAAACGGGAGCAGCCACCTGGGCCAGCACAGGGAGCAGCTGCCAGGGCCCCACAGGTGCTCAGGGCAGCAGCAGCAGCAGCAGCACTTACCTGCTGGATCTTGGACCAGTTCTCCTGCACGGACAGGCCGTTGGTGGCCCCTGTGACAGCCAGGAAGCAGCCAAGGAAGCACGGAGCGAAACCCCCCTGCCAGAGAGGAGCCCCGGCTGATGTGAGGAGCTCGTGGTGCTTGGAGCCAGGCTGGCCACGGGCAGCCTCTGAGAAAATGCCCACCCAGCCTTCCACGGCACTGAGGCTGGGCCCAGCTCAGCACGGGGCTCTCAGAGCAGGCTGGAAACCTGCCACGGGTCTGTCCTGTCCCCACTGCCCCAGTCCCACACCGCACCCTCACCCATGTCACACCAACCTGGTCCAGGATCACCTTCTTCACAGCCACAACTTTTGTATTCCCTGGGATGAGCCAGTCCAGGATCCTGTACCAGCTGCCCACAACAGGGCCCTGCAGGAGCCAGGGGGTGAGGAGCAGCATCTGTCCTCAGGGGTCAGGGCTGGGGCCTCCAGGGCAGGATACATGGCCCTGTTCCAGCTCTGGACCACAAAGGCAAGCTCGTCCTATGCTGCTCCTGCTCCCTGGAACTGGCCCTGCCCATGGCTGCTGGAGGTGGCACCAGGATGAGCCAACTCACAATCCACCACCACAGTCCCACCCTGCTGAAGGAGCCCTCCCATCCCATTATCCCATCCCATTATCCTGTTCCATCCCACCCCATCCATCCCCACTCACCACAAAGCAGAAGCCAATGCCCATCATTTTCAGGGTGCGGGGGCAGTGGTGCCCATGCAGCCCCCGCTGCTCCACCAGCTGCTGTGCAATCACATCCCCAGCTCCCATCAGGGCCCCTGCAACCAGCACGGCCCATTTAGGCAGGACAGAGCCCCGTGTGACCTGCCCACAGCTGGGCCCCCTGCCCAGGGTGCCTGAGCCTGTTCAGCCCTGGTGGCTCTGTCCCAGCTGCAGCTCCCCACGGCCTGCACCAAACCCCACGGCACAGGAGCCCCACTCAGCCATGTGCCTCAGGGCTCTCACTGCAGCATCTCTGCTCAAAACCATGTCCAGCTGCACCTGGACAGGGGGCTGACCCATCAGCCAGGCTCCACGGTGCTCTCAGAGAGCCTGCCCAGCTGCTGCCCGTGATCTCCACCGTAGCCTTTCCCACAGCACCCCAAACCTCTCCCTGGGCACCGGGCAGGTTCTGCCCACCGTGACCTCCTCCCTGAGAGCAGCTCTCTGCCCGAGCAGGTTCTGCCCACCGTGACCCCCTCCCTGAGAGCAGCTCTCTGCCCGGGCAGGTTCTGCCCACCGTGACCCCCTCTCTGGAGAGCAGCTCTCTGCCCGTGTCCCCCGCCCCACCAGCCGGGCCCGGGCTGGGCAGAGCGTGCTCCCCGCTGCCCAGGCTGCCCCAGCCCCTCGCCACAGCTGGCTGCTGGCGCAGCTCCTGGCCCCGTTCCTAGATCAGTGTCCCCGGTGGGGCGCTGCCCGGCTGGGTCTCTGGCAGCTCCTGCTCCATCCCACACCCCTGACCCCTTCGACGCAACTCAGCTGGCCCAGTGCTGCCCCCTCCAGCTGCTGCCCCGGCCCCGGCGGCTCCTGCTCCCTCTCCCCGCTCCCCCCGGGACGGTTCCCTGGCAGGTCTCCAGCCCTGCTGCTGCTCCGCTCCGTCCTCGGGAGCCCTGAGCCCAGCAAACCCTCAGCCTGACGGGCACCAGCCCCAGCAGCCCCTGTCCCGACAGCCCCAGGGTTGTGGTACCAGCCCTGCCCCGGGGACTTGGCCAGCGGTTCCTCATGGACAAGGGCCCAGCTCCCTGTCCCCACACCACGCCATGTGGTCCCTGAAGCCCACCAGCAGCGCCAGCCCAGGCTCTGCAGCCCCACAGAGCACCATCCGCTGCTTCACAGGAGGCTCCATCTCCCACCCCCGACCAGCCCCAGGATCTGGTGCTCTGTCCCCCAGCCCCGAGAGACCCCACACTCCCCATGATGGCAGAGCAGCCTCACCAGCTCACGGGCCACAACGGCACCGGGCAGGGGATGGAGCAGGTGCGGGACTCCAGGCCAGCACAGCCAGAGCACCGGCTGCTGGCACGGCAGCACTGCCTGGAGCTGCACTGCCCGGAGCTGCACTGCCTGAGAGCTGCACTCCTGAGAGCTGCACTGCCTGGAGCTGCACTGCCCGGAGCTGCACTGCCTGGAGCTGCACTGCCCGGAGCTGCACTGCCCGGAGCTGCACTGCCTGAGAGCTGCACTCCTGAGAGCTGCACTGCCTGAGAGCTGCACTCCTGAGAGCTGCACTGCCTGGAGCTGCACTGCCCGGAGCTGCACTGCCCGGAGCTGCACTGCCTGAGAGCTGCACTCCTGAGAGCTGCACTGCCTGGAGCTGCACTGCCTGGAGCTGCACTCCTGAGAGCTGCACTGCCTGGAGCTGCACTCCTGAGAGCTGCACTGCCCGGAGCTGCACTCCTGAGAGCTGCACTGCCCGGAGCTGCACTGCCCGGAGCTGCACTGCCCGGAGCTGCACTGCCCAGAGCTGCACTGCCCAGAGCTGCACTGCCTGGAGCTGCACTGCCCAGAGCTGCACTGCCTGGAGCTGCACTGCCCAGAGCTGCACTGCCCAGAGCTGCACTGCCCGGAGCTGCACTCCCCAGAGCTGCACTCCTGAGAGCTGCACTGCCTGGAGCTGCACTCCTGAGAGCTGCACTGCCCAGAGCTGCACTGCCCAGAGCTGCACTGCCTGGAGCTGCACTGCCCAGAGCTGCACTGCCTGGAGCTGCACTGCCCAGAGCTGCACTGCCCGGAGCTGCACTGCCCGGAGCTGCACTCCCCAGAGCTGCACTCCTGAGAGCTGCACTGCCTGGAGCTCCACTCCTCGGAGCTGCACTGCCTGGAGCTGCACTGCCTGAGAGCTGCACTGCCTGGAGCTGCACTCCATGGAGCTCCACTCCCCGGAGCTGCACTGCCTGGAGCTGGACTCCATGGAGCTCCACTCCCCGGAGCTGCACTGCCCGAAGCTGCACTGCCTGGAGCTGCACTGCCCAGAGCTGCACTGCCCGGAGCTGCACTCCCCAGAGCTGCACTGCCCAGAGCTGCACTCCTGAGAGCTGCACTGCCTGGAGCTCCACTCCTCGGAGCTGCACTGCCTGGAGCTGCACTCCTGAGAGCTTCACTGCCCGGAGCTCCACTCCTCGGAGCTGCATTCCCAGAGCTGCACTGCCCAGAGCTGCACTCCTCAGAGCTGCATTCCCAGCAGCAGCACTCCCAGCAGCTGCACTCCCTGGAGCTGGGAGCAGGGGCACAGCACTCTTGGAGAACACAGCAGGCACTGCTGTTACTCATCCAGTGCCGAAGGCTCTGGGTACAGTGGCCACAAGTGATGAGGCTGTGGGGAGGGACAGACCTGTCTGTGCATCCCTTCCTTGGCCTGGGGATGCGGCCAGATCCAGCCCCCAGCAATGACTTTGGCAGCAGTGCCTGCCCAGGGTGCCACCAGCACAGCCCAAACACAGCTCCTGTGGGGGCTGGAGCCTTCATCCCAGCCTAACCTGGTGCCCAGGGCGCCCAGCTGACCCCCGGGTTAATGTTCTTGTGGCCAGAGGACTCTGAAAGGGGCCCAAACCTAAGTAGGGCACCACCATCTCCATGGCCATGGCAGTGCCTTGGCAGGAGCAGGGCACTGCTCTCCACAGGCAGAGGGACAGCAGGTCACGGCTGCAGGCACGTGCTGCTGCCCACTGTGTGCAGGCCCTGCTGGCAGCCTGGCCCAGGGCCCAGCATGCAGGAGGCAAAGCCCTGCTGACCCCCAGCCCCGGGACTGCAGCGTGGCCAGCAAGGGTGCCCGGGCACAGTGGGCACAGCCAGCTGCCAGCAGCGCCCTGGCCCGGCCCCAGCTGGCAGCACGGGGGTCCCTGGGAGCAGCAGGACAAGGCTGGAGGCTGGATGGAGCTGGCACAGGGCACGGGGCCTGGGAAGCTGCACGGACACTGCACAGGCAGCAGGAGAGGGGCTGAGCTGGGGCATGGTGGGGATCATTTGTGGGAGCTCCCAAGAGAGCAGGAGCGTTTGTGCCCCCCTGGCTGCAGCTGGGAGAGCCCAGCTCGAGGCAGGTGGAGCCATGTCCAGCAGCAGCCCAGCACCCACAGAGGCCGTGCCCAGCCCTGCAGGCTGGCAGAGCCCTGGGGCAGGGCTGTGCCACAGCAGCCACAGCTCCCACCTGAAGCAGCAACAGGCAGAGCACAGCCGAGGCCGGAGCCAGCCCGGGGCCACGCCGGCAGGGGAGGCGAGGGCAGGGCCAGTCCCGGGCAGCCCCTCCCAGCTCTGCCCTGGCCTCTCGCCAAGCACAGGGGGACGTGCTGCCAGCAATTGACTCGGTGACAGCCGATAAAAATAACAGCAGGAACAGCTAAGCAGCCTGGCAGCGCCCCAGGCAGGGGGCACCGTGCCACCCCCCCGTGGCCAGCGGGGCTGAGGGCCAGCGGCTGCACAGGGAGGGAGGGGAGCCCCCAGCTCAGCAGGGCACCCCCAGAGCCCGGGGCTGTGCTTTCCCAGCACCCTGGGCGGGCGGGAGCAGCAGGGCAGGGGCAGCAGGGGCAGGGCAGGGACAGTCAGGGCAGGGGGCCTGCAAGCAGGGGGGGCAGCAAGGAGCACACAGGGACCCCCAGCTCCCACCCATCCGCAGCACAGCCCCTGCTCAGCCCCAGGGACACATGGAACAAGCAGGACACGCTCTCCCACCACCCAGAGTTGGCCTCAGGTGTGCTGGGGGGAACAGAGGAGGGGCAGAGCTGCCTGGTGCCCCAGGGCTACAAATCCTTGGAGCAGCAGAGGCACGAGGGGCAGATTCCTGGCACCTCATGGTTCACCAAGCAGCAGCAGCGTTAGGGAAACTCAGTGCCCTGTGCAGCAGCTCTGTGCCTTCACTGCTGAGTGCTGGCAAGCACAAAGAGCTGAGCCCTTATGACTGCCCCGGGCTACAGCTCAGCATCCATCCCTCCAGGTGAGGGGGGCCTGGGACAGTGTCCCCCCGGGTCTGGGGGTGAGGGCTGCGCCTCCTGAAGTCCCCACGAGCGCTCTGGCTCTAGAACAGAGCCCTGACAGAGCTGTCCTGAGCCCAGAGCTCCAGCACAGAGCCCTGACAGAGCTGTCCTGAGCCCAGAGCTCCAGCACAGAGCCCTGACAGAGCTGTCCTGAGCCCGGAGTCCAGCACAAAGCCCTGACAGAGATCTCCAGAGCTGGGAGCAGGCCAGGGCCCCTCCCTGGTGTGACACATGGGGGTCCCTGCTGAGCCCAGGCCAGGGCAGCGCCTCCTCCCCCTAAGACAGACCCCGGAGGCACTGAGGGGTTCCCGCCGTGCCTCCTGTGCGGTGACAGTGCCCGCACAGCGGGGCAAGGGGTGTGTGCCAGGGCAGGCTGTGGCTGTGGCAAGGAGGGGCGGCCAGGAGAGGCATGTGCAGGGCAGTCCGTGTGCCAGGAGCGGGGCAAGGCAGGGGCTGTGTGCCGGGGGGGCTGTGTGCCGGGCAGGGCAGGGGCTGTGTGCCAGAGCAGGGGCTGTGTGCTGGGGCAGGGCAGGGGCTGTGTGCCGGAGGGGCTGTGTCCTGGGGCAGGGCAGGGGCTGTGTGCCGGGGCAGGGGCTGTGTGCCAGGGCAGGGGCTGTGTGCTGGGGCAGGGCAGGGGCTGTTTGCCGGGGCAGGGGCTGTGTCCTGGGGCAGGGCAGGGGCTGTGTGCCGGGGCAGGGGCTGTGTGCCAGGGCAGGGGCTGTGTGCCGGGGCAGTCTGTGTGCCAAGGCAGGGCAGGGGCTGTGTGCCGGGGCAGGGGCTGTGTGCCGGAGGGGCTGAGTGCCGGGGCGGTCTGTGTGCTGGGGCAGGGCAGGGGCAGGGGCTGTGTGCCGGGGCAGGGGGTGCGTGCCGGGGCAGGGGCTGTGTGCCGGAGCAGGGGCTGTGTGCCGGGGCAGAGCAGGGGCTGTGTTCCGGGGCAGGGGCTGTGTGCCGGGGCAGGGCAGGGGCTGTGTTCCGGGGCAGGGGCTGTGTGCTGGGAGCGGAGCAGGGGCTGTGTTCCAGGGCAGTCTGTGTGCCGGGGCAGGGGCTGTGTGCAAGGGCAGGAGCTGTGTGCAAGGGCAGGAGCTGTGTGCCGGGAGCGGAGCAGGGGCTGTGTTCCAGGGCAGTCTGTGTGCCGGGGCAGGGGCTGTGTGCCGGGGCAGGGGCTGTGTGCCGGGAGCGGAGCAGGGGCTGTGTTCCAGGGCAGGCTGTGTGCCGGGGCAGGGCAGGGGCTGTGTGCTGGGCCAGGGGCTGTGTGCCGGGAGCGGAGCAGGGGCTGTGTGCAAGGGCAGGGGCTGTGTGCTGGGAGCGGAGCAGGGGCTGTGTTCCAGGGCAGGCTGTGTGCCGGGGCAGGGGCTGTGTGCCGGAGCAGGGGCTGTGTGCCGGGGCAGGGGCTGTGTGCCGGGGCAGGGGCTGTGTGCCGGGGCAGAGCAGGGGCTGTGTGCCGGGGGGGCCGTGTGCGGGGCCGGGGGTCTGAGGGCCTCGGGGGCCGGGTTGGTCCCTTACCGGCTGTGAGCGCCTGCGCCGCCCCGGGCCGCCGCGCCAGCAGCCGCCCGCAGCCCCTCCAGAGCGCCGCCATGGCCCCGCGTGTCGCGCGCGGTGACGCGTGTCGCGGCGCGATGCCGTATCGCGACCCAGAGCGTTTATTGGTCAGTAGCGGCCCAGCACCGTGGCCAGCAGCGCCATCCGTATGTACATGCCGTTCTCCGCCTGCCGGAAGTAGGCGGCGCGCGGGTCCGAGTCCACCTCCACGCTGCGGAAACGCGGCATCAGCGGCGCCGCCCGCTCCCCGAGACACGCTCGGGGTCCCCGAGCCCCCACTCGTCTCGGAACCTCTGGCACCCCCCGGGACCCTCAGGATCCGCCCTGGAACCACTGACACCCCCCTGGTCCTGGCACCCACGGTACAACGGGGCCTGTCCCCCAAGCCCAGCAACTGCAGCCCCTGTGGCTCCGAGCGCTCCCCAGCCCTGCCCAGCACACCACAGTCCTCCCGCCCCTGATCCCCGGCGCCTTCCCAGACACCCCCAGCACACCGCAGCTCCCACGGCCCTGCCAGTGTCCCAGCGACACCAGTGCCCCAGGGACACCACTGCCCCAGCTGCACCGCTGCCCCAGCTGCACCACTGCCTCAGCTGCACCAGTGCCCCAGTGACCCCACTGCCCCAGCTGCACCACTGCCTCAGCTGCACCACTGCCCCAGTACCCTCCCAGAGCCCCCATGCCCCAAGGACCCCCCTTCTGCCCTGTATATTTCCTACCCGTTCTCCCAGACACCCCCTCCAAACCTCCCCTGTCCCCCAGCACCCTCCCTAGCCCCATTGCCCCCTCCCCACCTGATCTCGTTGACACGGGGCAGGGGGTGCATCACCACCATCCTCTCCTTGGCCCGGGTCATGATGTGGGGTGTGAGGATGAATTTCCCGAAGCACTGAGGGAACAAACAGAGCCCTGAGCAGGGCAGGGGGGGTGCCCGGGCCCCCGAGGGCAGCAGGAGCCAGGCTCCCCTCACTCACGGCCTCGTAGTCCTCGGCCCGCTGGAAGCGCTCCTTCTGGATGCGGGTCACGTACAGCACGTCTGTGTCCGGCAGCGCCTCCTCGATGCTCCCAAACTCCTCCTGCACAGCACCGAGAGGTTGGGGGGGACACAGCTGGGCCAGACAGGGTGGGGGCCACCCCCCAGCCTGCCCCTCACCTGCTGGATGCCCCTGGAGGCCACGAAGCTGGTGATGTCGGCGGGCATGCGGAGCTCAGGCGGGGTGACGTAGCGCAGGTGGACGCGGTACAGGGTGAGCAGGCGGGCCAGGGAATGCACCGTGCGCCCGTGCTTCAGGTCCCCCACCATGGTGATCTGGGGACAGCGGTCAGCCCAGCCTGCCCGGGCCCCCCAGGGCCCGCACGGGGCCCCCTGAGCCCCCGGCCATGGCTCTGGCCCCTCAGCTCACCGTCATGCCGTTGACCGTGCCCAGCTCCTCGCGGATGGTGAAGATGTCCAGCAGTGCCTGCGTGGGGTGCTCGCCCACCCCGTCCCCGGCGTTGATCACTGGCTTGCGGCAGTGCCTGGCAGCCAGCTGGAGCAGCAGCAAGGCAGGGCAAGTGAGCACAGGCACAGACACAACTCCCATGGCCCCAGGGCAGCAGGAGCCCACCCTGGCCCAGCTGGGGACCACATCCTTGCCCATAGAGCAGGTCACCATCCCTGCCCTTGGGGCAGCATCCCCGGTGCCTCCAGAGCAGGAGGCAGCTGCCCTGACCCCTCTCACCTCGACAGCGCCGGGCTGGGGGTGCCGCAGCACCAGCACGTCGGCGTAGCAGCACATGGTCTGCACGGAGTCAGCCAAGGACTCGCCCTTCTGCACCGAGGAGGTGGCCTCGCAGAAGGACAGCACGGAGCCGCCCAGCCGGCTCATGGCTGCTGCAAACGAGCTGCTGGTCCGCGTGCTCACCTCGTAGAACATGCTGGCCATCACCTTCCCCTGCAGGGCCGGGCTGTCAGCTCGGGGAGCCCTGGCACCCTGCCCGACATGGGGCTCCCTCGGGGTGCCCATGGCACAGGTGAGTGCTGTGGGGACGGCTCACCTTGAGGATGTCCAGGCTGCGCTCCTTCTGCACCAGCATGCGCAGGGTGTGTGCCACGTTGAACAGGTGGGACAGCTGCAGGGACAGGTGGCACCGGGGCTCAGCGGGGGCACAGGAGGCACCACAGCCCCCAGAGCCCCCTGCCCGCCCGGCTGGGCACCTGGTCCTTGGAGAACTGCCGCACAGAGAGGACGTGCTGCCCAACCAGGGGGTGCAGCAGCGGGGAGGTCTGGAAGTGGGGGGCGCGCTGAGGGGACGTCTGGCGCGGGACAGGGCCCAGCGGGTGGAAGTGGCTGTCCTGGATCACTGCTGAATCTGTGGCACCGAGAGCAGGCAGTCAGCCCACGGGGGTGCCCTGAGGAGCCCAGCCACCAGCCACAGACCCTGGATCCCCACTGTGGGCCCCTGCTGCACTCACCCGGTTCCGCTGCCTTCCTGCTGCCCTTCTCACGAGCGTCCTCAGCTGGGTGGGAGAGGGGAGCAGGAGTGTTAGGGATGTGGGGAGAGGTGGCACCTGGGCCCTGCTCTTGTCCCAGTGTGCTGCCAGTGTGGCACAGCCCTGCTGGCACATGGCAACACCAGGTGAAACCAAGATGGGCGTGACGCCAGAGTGATGGTGAACCAGAGACAGGCAGTCCAAGCCCCACGCTGTGCTGTGACACTCTCCCTGCTCACCCTGCAGTTCCCAGCTGGCCACCCCCCAGCTGACACTGGCAGTGAGGGTCCCCGAGGTGCCACGCAGGCTGGGGCAGGAGGGAGCGGGCGGCATGGCCGTGCCCTGTCCTACAGCGCCCAGCCCTGGTGCTGGGTGCCACAAGGGCCCACGGGGGGCACGCAGGCAGCCCGAGGCCTGCAGGGCACCTGGGGGAGGGGATGCACTCATGGGCTGCACGTGGTGCCGTGTGAGCCCCCCCGACATTACCGGTGCCTCGGGCGCCCGGGCGGTGTGCGGCTCCCAGCCTCCGGAACGCTGAACGGGACACAAGGGCTGGCGTCAGCGGGGCTGCCCAGCCACGGTCCCAGCCCTGGCCCCCAGGAGTGCCCGCTGCCCGCCCACCCCCCTACCTGGCAGCTCGGGGTCCGAGGCTCGGTGGATGCGGGGCGGGAGGTGGAAGCGCGCGTCCCCCGCGGGGCCGGGCCGGCGCGGGCTGGGGGCTCGTCCACGCAGCGCGTCAGCAGCCACGGGCCGGGCCTGCTCGGGGGGCTGCAACGAGAGACCAAGCTGGAGCTGGGGCACGGAGGGACCCCTGCCAGCTCTGTACACCCCAGTACCTTCACAGTCTCCTTGCTGGGGGCTACGTGTGGCAGCAGCGCAGCTCCTGAGGTCCACTTCCTCACATCCTGTCCATAGCCAGGGGGCACCAGCACCTGCAGCCACGGCAGGGAGGGGATTAGGGAAATGGGCTCAGCACTGGGACACCCCCTGTGATGGGGGACACCCTCAATACAGGAAGGAAAGGAGCCAGGACCTTACCTGCCCATCAATGTAGGCAACCTCCCCACGCAGGACCACCCTCCGCACCGTGCCCTTGACCTGCATGCCCTCAAAGGGGGTCCAACGGGCCTTGGAGAACACTGTGCTGCTGGGGATGATCCACTCCTGCTCCAGGTCCACCTGCCAGGACAGCGGGTCAGAGGCAGAAGGGTGGGGGCTGCACCTGGGGCGGGAGGGCAAGGACACACCTCCACATAGGTGTCCTCCTGAGCAGGCAGCCCAAAGATCTTGCGAGGGTTCTCATAGAGGCGCTGCACGATGTCCTCCACGCTGAGCCTCCCCTCAGAGACGGCCGTCAGCAGCAGTGGCAGCATGGTCTCCAGGCCAGGGTACCCAGGGGGCGGCTCCTGCCCCAGCTTCTCCTCCAGCGTGTGGGGAGCTGCAGGACGGGGCTGTCACCGGGGCTGTCCCCACCACCTTCCCCACAGCCACCATCCCTGGGGACTAACCGTGGTCAGTGGCAAAGCAGTCGATGATGTCCATGTTCTCCCAGAGCGCCTCCACGTCCTGGCGGGTGCCCAGCTCCGGCCGCACGGCTGCACGGCCCTTCCCCAGGCGGCCCAGGTCGTCTTGGCTCAGGAAGAGGTGGTGTGGGGCCACCTCGCATGTCACCGGGATCCCTCTCTGCTTGGCCGCCTTGATGAGGAGGATCTGGGGCAGCCGTGGTTAGTGGGTGTTGTGTGATTGCAGGGTTTACCCCAGAACCCAGGTTTTTCCCCAGAAGATTCCTTCCCAGGTGTGTCAGTCACCTCTCCTTTCCCCTCCCAGCACTGTCTGTCAGTCCTGGCATTCCAGAAGGGCACTGAGTGATTGGCAGATTCAAAGGATGCCCTCTACCCCGGGAGGGGGGCATTGGGCCATCCAGGTGTCCTTTGTCCCTTTGTCCCTCCCCTCCTGTCCCTGCTTGGTGGCTCCCTGCCCCTTCCCTGCCCCTCTCCCCGGGGTTAAAGGAGCAGCAACCATGGGCTCAGGGAGCTCTGTTGGAGCTGGTGCTGGATTCAGAGGCCTGAGGGCCAGAATAAAGCTCTGGATCCAAACCCTCCATCAGAACCGACTCCTTTACTTCACCATCCCCTTAAAGCTTCTCCGGCAGAGGGAAACCTGAAGAGTTAACCCCACCACCACTGGAGCCCCGGCCTGCCTGGACTTCATGTGCCCAGCTGCAGCACCCAGCCAGCCAAAAGTGTCTGTGGGGTGAAACACCACACACCCAGCTGGCCAAAAGTGTCTCAGGGGTGAAACACCACACACCCAGGCAGCCAAAAGTGTCTCAGGGGTGAAACACCACAGTTGCCACTATTTGGTCCAGACGCAGGGCCAGACAAGCCAAGGCATGTCCCGTCCGCCAATACTGGTCATATTCCAATAAGTGGGGAACCCAGAGGGCCCCGTGCTCCATCCCTAGAACCCAGAGCTCGCCCTGCTCACCTCCTCCCTGCGGGCCACGTGGCAGATGTGGACAGGGCGCTGGTACAGCTGGGCCA